CCTTACCGCCTAATGTGCAAATTGATATGCTTTCTTTTCTGATTATTGGAACATAAAATTTTTTGACAAGAGACGACAAAACTAAGCCACCCCATTATCTAAGAAAATACGACATATTTCCTTTTTATTTCCATCCCCAATCAATGCAGCGCATGTAACAGAATGCTATCGGATTTAGTATTATTAGCTTTCGTTTTAAAAACTGCCGAAACGATGCTATCAGTTTTTTTCTGATTAGGACTTTAAATACTCAGATCATTTTGTTTTCGAAAACATATTGAAATATGGTGGGATCCCCCACAAAAGGATCAGTTTTCTTTAATCGAATATTCTGCAACGTGGTGTCGAGGTTAAAGGCATTAAAAACAACATCCTTTCTTTTTCGAAATATCTCTCTTTTCCCTAGCATCTAATGTATGTGATTTATTGCAGAATAAACATTTCTCATTGCCTGTCGCCCATGAGAGGCTTTGTTCAGATGAGATCATAGAAAGTGTTTTCTTTATTTCAAGGGCATTTCTGTGGTATTACGTTTAACAAACCGATAATTTTTATTTTTTATTCTTTCCGGTCGGGAAAGGAAATAAGATGGCGATGTTTTATGATTATTAATTTGAAGTGATCGTTCACTACTTCTTATTTCTGAATTTAGAAATTTTAATGGAGCATTTAAATTAAATTCTTTATCATTCAGGGATCGATTAAATTTTTAATTCTGAAGGAATTAATTTCATTAAGATAGGTGTCAGGAATGAGAATCACCCTTTATACCCCAGCATTTTAAACTGCGTATCTGTGTTTCAGCTCTGTCATATAAATTTCTTAAACTCATAACATCATTAGGATTTTTAACAGTCGATAAATTTAATAAATCACTCAAATGAGCGTTGATTAACATGTTTTTATTCCCAAATCTATCTTTTAATAAATCTATGACTTTGTCGTAATTCTTATCAGAAATTGCAAATCCGTTTATGCATGCAAGAGCATTTCCATATAAATAAAATTTCAAATAATTAAATTTATAAAATTTGCTTAATTTTACATTATTATGATTACAACTTTCAAGTAAATTGTAAAAATCAAACCATCCTGCATAATTTCCCGCATATTTATGTATATGTAATTTAGGTAGATTTATGTTCATGCATTCATAATTATTTGAATCATTTATTTCAGTAGTTCTTGAAACTGTATCAGCTGGGCTAGAACTAATTTTCTTTATTTTGAAAGAAAATTATTTTCTTTATTTGCACAGAATTGTAAAATTTGTTGACACAAAGATTGTACCAAGTGAAAACAATTTTAATATTTTTTAATTAATGTGCAAAAAAAATTTTGAATTGAAATGAATGCAATTTTTTATACAATTTTTTAATAGTTTATGAGAAATAAAAATTTGATAGTACAATTTTTCTGAATTCGCAAAATGCGGTATCTCAGAACATTGTACTTTTAACATTACTCGTTTTTATATTGCACTTTACTACACTGCATTGCACTTTTTTACAGAATATTAAAGGGCTCCAACTTCCGACAGCTCTCATTCTTAAGTTAGTGGTACTATACTTTCCAAAGCTTCTTTTATATTTTAAGGATCAAGCAACCAAATCGGTCAACAACAAAGAAAAGTTCGTTTTTTCAGATAAACTTTGTGTCTGATTTAGTTACTTCAAAGACTAATAGTGCTCTAATTAAGTAGCATAATTAAGATATGGTTCTAAAAGAGTTAAGATCAAATTCTACCACGTGATAATTCAATCATTAGACCAAAAATTATCAAGGTTTCCGTCCTTTTACTTTTCGCACTGTTGCAAAAAAAAAGAAGAAAAAAATGGTGCAAACTTTCGATTTTAAGGAAAATAGCGTTGAATATTGTTCTCTTCTCAGAATCTTCACTGTCTGAAGTGTGTGGACGAGGAGAAAAAAAATCTAATGTTTATTTTAGTTTATTTATTTATTTTAAAAAAATTACATTAATGATTGCGATTTACTTAACTTCACAGTGTCTTTCTTAACTAACAAAATATCGCCGTACTAAAATAAGAAATGTAGCACCAAGTATTTTAAAATCTCTTCAATATTTTCTCACAAAATTGTAACTCAATTTTACTATCTGCATATAGTTAGCTGATACTTTGATTCCAAAAACTTAAGTACTAAATAATAATTTATCCATATAATTGCTTTTATGTTTATTGCCAGGAAAATCCAAGAAAATGTTTTTATTTTACTTATTTATATAATTAGTTCTTTTGTATCATCGAGTAATCATCTCGTACGACTCTATCACAGAAATAAATATTAAGGTGTGAAGTTTCTTCATCAAGCTTGGGGAGACTGTATGTAGCTAGACCTTCTCACGTCCGACCATTACATGCTCGCGTTCGTACATTCATACAAACTTTCGACATTTGTGAATTACCATCGCAATCAGAGGATCATTTTCTCATACTTCCATGGACCATCTCATCCTATCAGTTTCATCCACCGTTTATGATGTACAGTAAGTCTAATGTTACACCCAACATTTATCAGCATACCTTCATTTCTCATCGTCACCAATATTCTGAGTATCTGCCTGTTTTTACTGACGGATCAAAATCTGCGGGATATGTCGGCTGTGGTGTCATCATCGCTGGTGATACTTATAGCTACAAAATCCCAGATATTTGTTCCGTCTTCACTGCGGAAGCTGTTGCCATCCTTTTGGCATTGCGGCTGATTTCTTCACGCAAGTATTTTATATACTCCGATAGTAAGACCGTTTTGAACCAGCTAGAAAATTTTCGCAGCGATACTCACCCAATCTTATGCTTCATTAATCATTTATTAATCGCTCTTCACAAGAAGGGATTTGATATTTTATTTTGCTGGATACCGAGCATATATGGCAACGTTACTTTTAAAGAGTAACGAGTAAAAGTACAAGTATTTTTAAAAAAAGTAACGAGTAAAAAGTTCTTATTTTAAAAAGTAACGAGTAAAAAGTACAAGTAAAAGTACAAGTACTAAACAAAAAAAGTAACGATTTAAAAGTACATTTTATGGAAATTGAAAGTAATTGATTAATATAATTGATTAATGAGAAACGAATATCAAAATTTACGGAAACGACAGTTCTTTATTCTTTCCCTAGTCTTATTTACTATTCTCTAGTTTATATTAACTTAAAGAGAGTCTTTTTTTTATTTAAATAAAAATTATATTTGCTAATTCAAAATAAATATTTGTTAATTTATTTGAATAAAAAAAAAAGATAAAAGTGGTAGAATTCATATTATTACGGAATAAAATCTAATTCGAATGTTACAAAGCTCCTTCAATAGTGAACATTAAAAATACCCAGAAGCCATACCAGAAATCAAAATTATCTGTTTACATATAAAAATGATTTATGTTAATTTTAGAACTATAATTTTTTTTAAATGTTGTTTTTATTTTCTGAAACTTTATTTATAAATAAATTACCTTATTCGACAAATTTGCTAAACATTATAACTTATGTTAAAAAATAAATTTTTAAAAAATGCATTCATATACAGGAAATCTAAAAAACTACAAATTATATTTTGTTTTTAAATATAATTTTTTTATTTTAAAATATTTCATAATGGCAATTTTTGGATTTGTAATAACGATGTGCAATACTAAATCCACTCATAATAAAAAATTATGAACAAAAGTTTTATTTTAAAATTTTATGATATGAATAACTAATACGTTTACGTAATAGTATATATGTTACGTTTAATATAATTCAAAAAAAATATTTT